ACATTTCTGACAAAAAGATTGAATGTGTTGAAAAAATATATTAATGATACTGAATAAACATTGGTTTTTTTCTTTTCCTTCTTTCTTTCTTTTTATCTGGCGATAAAAGGTTACAAAGGAAAGCAGAACAAAAACGAAATAAACGTAGTGAAAAAGGGAACAGATGAATCAGATAAAAAAAGGATACAGTTAGCGTTATAAAATTGTTAAAAGTTAATGACTTATTAATTAGTGAACACTTCGATAGGGTATGTTTATAGTTTGGGTATGCTTAAAGCGGAATTATTCAGGTACAAATTGGGTGGTTAGATTAAAACAGAGCCTTTATGTAGTCGATATTCTAAACAACAATAAATACAACCATAGAACTTCTCAAATTTCGATGTTCTTAATAATTGCTCTTCTCAAAAGAAAAAAAAAATAAAAATAAAAATAAAAATAAAAGGAATTAGCGAAAAAAGATGTATTGGCGAAATTTAAAAAAAAAATTTTTTTTTCGCTATTATTTTGCTGCTGTTATTGTTGGTGTTTGGGACAAAGGAACAGTTTAGCCTGTTGCCTCCGTCTCAAAGCTGTTTATTTTTGTGAAGTTTATACAGAAAATTGTTCAGTTTTTTAATGTAAAATTATGTTTAGAATGTCAGCTTTGATATCGGGAGCAGCTATACTGTTGCTTGCCTAAAACACCATCATTGTAGTGCTTAGATAGGTATGTCAAAGAGGTTGCATTGTTGTCACAGGTGTTGAGGAAGAGCAAAAAGGGAAGGAAGAGGAAAAACGCAATAACAACAGCTAAAGGAGGCTAATATTTAGCGACATTGTGGTTGCTACCTGCTTATTTTAGTTGGCCAACAATGAGTCGAAAAGAAACTAAAAAAAAGAGAAAGAAATTTAAAAAAAAAACGCTACAAACAACTGATCTTTTGCGATCGAAAAAAAAGATGTTTTTTTTTTTCAAGTAACAAATCTGTTAAATTTGTGTTTTTTTTTTCTGGATAATTCTTTTTCTCTTCTGCGCTTTGCTAAGTCCATCATCGTTGTTTTTTTCCCTTTCTTTTTACATAGCGAAAAGGAAACAAGAAAGGAAAAGAAAGAAAAGAAGGAAAGAATTAATGTTTGAAAGTTTTGCATCCGTTTTGTTCATACAAGATTTTTTTTGAGGATAACATATTTTTTCTGGAAATTCTCCTCTTTAACGTGTGCAGTTTTAAAGAATTTTAAATCGATTTTTATCAGAAATTGGCTTAATGTTAAGCAGTTCGACTGATACCTAACCAGCCAGAGAATGTGAGCTTCTGCAAGGGCTTTCGCATCACTGCTAAACGAGACACCAGAATCTAACAGGCTAGCAAAGAAAAACGAAAAACCTTTCGATAATTTTCTTATCCCTTCAGGATTTGCTACTTTTTTTTTTAGTGTCTTCCAATGTTAGCATTTTGTCTTTTTTTTTCCGCATTTTTAATACGAAGAAAAATCAACATTTTTTTCTCTTTTTTTTTTTTTCTTTTTCTCGATAATAAAACATTTGAAGCTCTGTCTGCCGGTTCTGCATTGCTGCAGCATTCCTCTTGTGTGAACCACACTGAATGATGTAGATGACGACTCAGTGGTTAATGTTTCCAGCGGTTTTCAGTGGTCGCTACACATTTCCTTGGAAAATTTTTGCGGAGAAGAACTTGGTCTCTTCATATCGTCTGCCAGGCGTATACCCGAGCAGTTCCATACTTGTCTTCTATCTAATATGCTGTCTTCAAAACCGATTACGCTATCATAATCCAGTATATTTTTTTAACAATATTTGGAAGCAAAAAAAAATCTGAATGCTAAAGTCATGCTCTTTATTGGCTCCATCATCATCTTCAGCTTCATCATCACTGCCATCTCTCCAATCATAGTTGTATTATTCATTCATTTCATCAAATTTGTTATTTGTTTCCTGCATAAGTGACAAGAAAGTATGTCCTTCAAAACGTCATAGCTAATAATCAAAAAAAAAA